CAGTGTTGCGGACAAGAAATGTTTTTCGGAGATGATCAATTGGTATGTCCTGGTTCGCAAGTCCTTTCTCGGAATAGGTCGAAGTTGTTCAAAGTTCAAAAGCGACAACAACAATGAAGAGTCTCCTTCCTCAATTGACACAAATTGGTAGATTGTTGGGTTTAATGGATTGCATCAATTGTGTATTTTGTGTATAAGTCCATTTTATGTAACGGGTTGGGCCTGTCCACCCGGTGTCTTTAAGGATTAGGGTTTAGCTATTTATAGTGCATGCATGAACCGTGTTTTGGTAATGATCTTGTAACCCTACTCTGCCTTTACAGTAGCAGTTCTTAATCGAGCTCTTCTAAGGCAGTGCTTTTGATCATTCGACACAACTTTGTTCGCCATTCTTGGTGTTTGATTTCTTTACCTGTTTAAATCTATCGATCATACTGTTTTAATTCTTATCAAAGATGCATCGTGCCTTTCTACAGGAAGTGTCACTCCCTTGTTGAGTTCAACTACATTACACATTCTTGCTTCCGCGACGCGACAATGACCCGATAGCGAAGCAGTTTCACTGTAATCTATAAATATCCAAGATTCTCAACCCTAATTTGGTGTGCAACCAAGAGGCGGCCTTAGAACTTTCCCCAATGCATGAAAAGGTGCTCCTAACATCCAAAAACACTTTTGGGTTGATTTTGAAGTTGGAAAAGCAATTTAGAGCAAAGATTTGATGAATCGAAAGCTATTAGCGTTAGGACTACGAATCGGTTTTGCTTAATGATTGTGTTTAGTAAATCCTTTTTGATGTTTTTTCTATTTTTACCAACTGATTATGGGGTAAAACACTTATGTTTTCACTAGATTAGATGTAACCTAATAACTTGGTGTGATTCCACTATTCGAATATTTAGTTTTATTTAATATATTATGTTTGTTTGATCAAAAATATTATGTGTTAATGTTTCAATTTTTATTATGTTAATCTAATTTAGACGATCAATCTGATTTTATTAGCTCGAATCATAGTTTTCTAACACTATTTGGCAATTATGATTAGTGATTGAGCATGTAACACCCAAAAATTCAAGCCAATTTAAACATTTTAACCCATTAAAAAACCATTAAATTATTACAACTCGTTTTCAAAATAGTTTAAACATCAGAGTCTCCCCAGAACCAAATCGCAAAATCATGAAATATGAGGAGCGGTACGATCACCTGATGTACCTGAAACAATAAAATGAAAACCGTAAGCTCGAAAGCTTAGTGAGTTCCCCCAAAATACCCGCACACACACACAACCATACACATACAACAATGAACAGCATACTATGGGTCCAATCAACCATCAGGTTGGAATACCCCAGGCCCTCAACCGTCGGGTTGGAATGCCAACATACTACGAGTCTAATCATCCTCGGGATGGAATACTCTCGGACCACAACCATCGGGTTGGAATGCCCACACACCTATACATACAATAACTACTATGGGTCCAATCATCCCTCGGGATGGAATACCCCAGGCCCTCAACCATCAGGTTGGAATTCCCACCCACTATGAGTCCAATCATCCTACCGGGATGGAATACTCCTAGCCCTCAACCATCGGGTTGGAATGCCCACCTACTATACATACACTAACTACTATGGGTCCAATCATCCCTCGGGATGGAATACCCTAGGCCCTCAACCATCAGGTTGGAATGCCCACCTACTATGAGTCCAATCATCCTACCGGGATGGAATACTCCTGGCCCTCAACCATCGGGTTTGAATGCCCACATACTAGCAACCATGTACACCTATCAAATAACCATATAACAGTCTACAAGACAACATACTAGGTCCCTATCATCCTACCGGGATGGAATACCCTCTACTACTGCTCAACACGTGCACATATAACAGGTAATCTCCTACCAGCATACAGACAGTCAGACCAACTACAGGTCACTAAGCATAGCCTCATCCAATCTACCAGAATACCGATCTATCAGAGCATACCATCATATAGCCATCCTATCTACCAGGATGCCAACTAACAGAACATACCATCATAAAGTCATCCTATCTACCAGGATGCCAACTAACATATCACAGCAGTAACTAACTCAAATAACAAATCAAAGGGCCGGCCTTGGTGCCTTAGACCCTTGGGTATAGTGAGGATAACTCACCTTGCAACTGCCGAGCCAAACCACAAAAGCATAATCCCGGAGCACTGCCCCAAACTCCAACACCTATAGCCATCAATGATCTATTAACATAAAATATCCGAATTACCATAATACCCTTGAAGGTCAAACTGGTCAAAGTCAAAGTCCTGGCCAAAGTCAACCTTCCTGATTGACCCTACTCGCCTAGTCAACCCGCTGGCTCGCCGAGTTCCTAACTCAGAAAACTCTCATATCACGACTCGACTCGTCGAGTCACCCCATGACTCGTCGAGTTCAACAATCTTTGAGTCCTATCATGTCCAACTCACTGAGTCACCACTCAACTCGTTGATCTGAGTCTTAACCAGAAGAGGTTGGGGTTTTGCGTTCTGACTCGCCGAGTCCAATAACAGACTCGCTGAGTCCACGGCAATCTTCAACAGACTCGCCGAGTTGTTCCTCCAACTCGTCGAGTTCATGCCTATCTTCAACAGACTCGCCGAGTCCAAGAACAGACTCGTCGAGTCCCTTCAGTCCTTTATTCATACAGAGGCTTTTCGAGTCATGCAGGGGCTCCACACTGTAGATCCACTCTTCTAGGGCATGAATCTCACGTAAAGTTGCAAACTTTACGTGGAAACAAGGAGCTATAAGCCCAAATCACTCTAGGGCTAAGGTTTAAGACAAGGATGCTTCACCAACAAACCAAGGGCTGATACTTTGTGAGTTTCTGGACCAAGACAAGTCTAGATCTGAAGTAGAAACCTCAGATCTAGATCCCTAACCCGAAATAGATCCTTAACATGCCAAAATGGCCCCAAATCTTATTCTTGAATAGATATAAATGCAATAGAGTCAAGGTAACAGCTTGTTACTTCCAAAATGTGCCCAAACTGCAGTAGATTCTGGATCTACACCACTCTCTTGATGCAAGCCCTTTTGATCTTCAAGTTTCTTCCACTAGAAACACTTCCAAAGCTTCAATCTCCCTCCAAAAGGCCTCACACACACGAGCTTAGGGTTTTCTGGTTCTCAAGGGCAATAAGGAGGCTGAGAGAAGGACATAAAGTCCTTTAAATAGGGTGCAACCATCGAGATTAGGGTTTTTCTCATTCCAGCACCAACTCGTCGAGTCCAGCTTCCGACTCGGCGAGTTGGTCACTTAATTCGCGACCCAAGACGCGCTCCGACTCGGCGAGCAAGCATACCTACTCGTCAAGTCCCTTCTTCAAAATTACACTTTAAACTCTTAAATCATACTTCTGAAATTTGGGGTGTTACAGAGCAAATCCTAGGTTGAGATAATATAATCTTAAACTTAAATGTGTAAGATAACCATTTATGCTTGTAATTGACTTCTATGGCCAACCTCAACTTGATGTCCGTGATTCCAGAGGATTTACATTTTGAAAGCTTTAAATGTGATGATATAAATGTTTCTTTTACAAATGATTTTTATAACTAAGACTTAAAAGTTGTGGTTTTAAATATATTCTTTTCGAAGGTATTTGATTATATTAATGTTTTTTCCATATTAATTGTTTTAAAAGAAAATTTTAATTAGGGTGTTACACTCATCCCCATGATGATCAACCTCAACCGAAAGTCCATTGATTCTAGAGGAATCAATTTCGCAGGAACCTCGGGGGTGTTTGAAGATCTTTTATTATGGTCAATGAATAGTGTACGGAAACGCTAACCAATCTCATTTATTATAGAAGTCCATAGGTTTAGAGATTAGTTCATGCTCTTTCATCCCCTCGAGTCGGAGATGGCTTGACAGCAAGCATAATGATGGTGATTATGTTGAATGTTTACAAATACTACAAAAATAAAATAATAATTAATTAAAGGGCATCAAGTCTACTGGCTAATAAAAGAAATGATCATAGGAAGATTCAAAGGTTAACACCTTCCTATTTTATATTGAGAGTTATCTTTATACCTTTGTAAAGTCTCAATCAACGTCGTTGTGTTTGGAGGATTGTTGAAAAAATTGATTTTGTGCTACTTTATACATGAAAAGTTGAATTCTAGTTATAATTTGTAAATGGTTTATGGGTTTATGTGCGCTTACTTAATAGGTTCGTTACGATATAAGTATCATACACGCCAAATGGAGTTCAAATGAATTAGATAATAATCGTCAAAGTGGTGTGTGTGTGAAATAGATATTGAGAAAGTTTAAGACTTGTCCCATACAAGAGTATGAAAGTTTGAATCACTTTATATGTTGCGGAAATAGAGCAAGGTTTGAATAGAATAAACCTACTCACAATCTCTAGCATTGTACATCAATGTCACAAAATCAATGGAAAACAAATTTCTGTTATTTTTGTTTTGGACTTGTGTTTTCCAAATTCCTATGTCTAGAGTCTTTTTATTATGTGGATTTATGTCCATTGTATCATTTTGGTTCGGTTTACATTGACCGGTAATACATTTTCTAACACGTAATGCCTAAATTTTAATATATATTTGCATTCAGATCATTGTATTGTTTGCTATACGCGTCTAAAGAAGTTACATGTGATGGATATGTAAAATCAAACGTTTTTACAGTTTCAACTGATTTCACAAACGTTGAACATTTTACAACATATGAATATTTGTTTTTGCAATGCCTGAATTTTTGTATGTATTTGGATATTAATCATTATTATGATCAACATAAGTGCTATAACATGGTACATATGGTTAGATAAGTTAAAACAAATGTATTGTTTATTTCACAATCTATAAATATCTTGTTTATTTGTTATTACAACATTCTAACCATTATATATATATATATATATATATATATATATATTATATATATATATATATATATATATATATATATATATATATCAACCATTAACTAAGCAATACACTAAACCCAAAGAGCTAGACAAAGATATTTTTGTCCCGATGCGAATAAGCTAAACTTTTGAGAGATGCTTGTTAGCATCGAGGAAAGTGAGGATTAATTGATTGACTTCATCGGGGAATTGCTCGTGAACAAAATGACATCCACGTGGCACGTATCTTGTTTCTATATTCGGGATATATTTTTTCACTTCCCCACTTTTTACGTATTCAAGCATTCCAGGAACTTTGAGTGCGTAATCTTCTTCACCCAATATTAACATCATTGGAGCTTCCACTTTAGGAACTTCGTCTGTGTATCCAAGGCTCATGTAAGACCTATAAAAATTAAATAAATTTTTTGAAAGCAGGGACAAAATAGTCATTTTACATGGCTTAAGGAACTTATGCTCTTGGCGTCAAAGTTAGAGACCGAACCAGAATGCCTAAAGTAAGAACCATTCATTAAAAAAAAAAAAAAAAAAATACCTCTTTTGGAGTGTAACATAAATATATAAAAAACATGGACCATTTCGCATTTTAGTGATTTTTCTCAAACTTTTATAGTGAGTTTTCTATAATTTGCGTCATAGAAATATATTCAATCCTACGTGGCATTATGTTGGCAACTTATTTTCCATGTTATGTCCACGTGTCACTGACACATTTGATGTTTACACAACATACAATTAATAGCTTGTGGACATTTATTGACATTGTTGCTGTTTATTAAGTTTCATAGTCATTAAACTATTATACAATTAATAGCTTGTGGAGTATATTTTATTTATTTGGTTTAGAAAAGGGCAAAATACTGAAAAATACAATACAAAAAAAAAACAAAACCCTAAATCCTTTATAAACAATAGTTGAGTGGCTAAATTAATAAAATTAAGGAACTTATCCTCTTGGCGTCAAAGTTAGAGACCGAACCAGAAAATGCCTAAAGTAAGGACCATTCATACAAAAAAAAATCCCTCTTTTGTTGTGTAACATAAATAAAAAACACGTGGACAATTTTCCATTTTAGTGATTTTACTCAAACTTTTATAAAGAGTTTTTCTATAAATTACGTCATAGAAATATATTCAATCCTACGTGGCATTATATTGGCAACTTATTTTCCATGTTATGTCCACGTGTCACTGACATTGTGTCCCTAAATGAAACTAAAAAAAATATAAGTGGACGCGTAATATAGAAAATTTGATAATAGGGTTATTAGTCAAAACACATTAGATGCTTTTTAATGACATTTTTGTTGTTTATTAAGTTTCAGTCATTAAACTATTATATTTTTTTGACAGATTAAAAAACTATATTTTATTTATTTGGTTTAGAAAAAGGGCAAAAATACTAAAAAACACAATACAAAAAAAAAAAAAAAAAAAAAAAAAAAAAAAAAACCCTAAATCGATTAAAAACAATAACTGAGTGGCTAAATGGATAAAATTATACAAATAAGTTTTGTTTTGTTTTTGTTTTTTGTTTTTTTTTTTTTTTTTTTTTGTATTTTGCTATAATATCAAAAGTCAAAACCCCGAAAAAGTGGTTATTGTAAACGGTAAAACATGTTTAATGGTTTAATCAATATACAAAATAGATAAGTTGCTAAATCAATAAAATGGTGAAATAACAACTTTTTTTTTTCTTTTCTATTTTGCCAATTTGGAAGTGTCGAAATATGTAACGATTTAGCTAAGATTTATCAAACTACCTATATGGAATTTGGAGTGCAGTTCGAAATCCAGACTTTTCATACAAATCCCCATAAATTGCAAGATCCTCCTCAGTCAACCAAGAGGGCAGAGAAGTCAACGGTTTGACCAAGTCCATTATTTCTTCATTTTCATTTGCTATTGGGATTTCACTTTGAGAAAACAAAATATAAATGTTTCTCACCACAGTTTTAACATCAAAGCGACTGAAATCTGCCTCAGCTCTTCCTGGTTCCTAAAAACCCAAGAAATAGCAAAATGTACTTTCGTGTAATTTTTTCAAATTATAATGTGTAGATTTTTAACTCTTTAAATATATATATATATATATATATAATATATATATATATATATATATATATATATATATATATATATTATTCATATTCATTCCTATGTATATGTGAATATAGAGGAAATGGTATTTAATTTACCCGCCATCTTGTAACATAGAAGCCTTCTGGAAGCGGATGACTCTTGAAGGCAGCTGGAGGCATAAATGCCATGTTAAGTGTAATAATTCCAGCAATTTTCTGTGGGTAGCGAAGGACAAATGGGTAGGCAACCATTGTTCCAAAATCTTTAGCAATCACAAATACCTAACAATCTTCAAACAATTAGATGCACAACATTCACTCTATCTTGTTACTGTTTTGCGTATCATAGATTAATCTACTTTCAATCGAGAAGAATCAAGGCAGCCTTATGAAGTCCTAAACTATAATCATATCAAATTTGAAATCGAAGTATAAAACGAATCTGCGATTTTGAGCACCAATTGCATCACTTGTTACCTATTAGTCAATTTTGGCACATAAATTTCTTGTGTTCTTTGGAATCTATGTTGAACTACCATTAGAATCGAAATTTTTGAAGGATTAACTGTGCGTCTGTCTCAACAACATGAACATCACAGTTGATGAGCTGAAATTGGGATGAACATACCTTCGAAATGGAGAGAGAATCAACGATAGAGGCAATATCGTTGACAAAGTCATCGAAGGAGGCCTTCTCGGGTTCTGCAGGTGGATCGGATAGCCCGTATCCTCTGAAATCGGGGGCAATGGCTCTGAAACCAGCGTTTGCGACGGCAATCATCTGGTGGCGCCAAGTGTACCATATCTCCGGGAATCCGTGAAGGAAAATCACCGCCGGCGAAGATTCGGAGCCGATCTCAGCTATGTGAAGCTTTTGCCCGTTGATATGTAGGAATTTGTGTGCAATTTTATCCATTTTCTTAAGTGCGAGCGTGTGTGTGTTTCTTTGTTTTACAGCTTTCAAGAGATTTTGGCGTTTGGAGTCTACAATGGTGGCGACCCTTAACATTCCACGGTTGTGTAAAATTGACTAAGGTGGATCAAAGGCGACTGGTTGTTTTTTTAATATTGCATTTTTACTAAAATAAATTAAAACCTAAATAAAACTTTTAAAACATGAATGTGATTTTTTAAATATTTTTATGATTTTGTTATAAATAATAAACAAATCTAGAACAACTTTTACGTATTATTGTATAAAAAATAAAAATAAAATAGTATGAATTACCGTATATATTTGATAAAAACCAACAATTTTGGTCGTAAATTTATACTTAAACATTGTAAGTAAAAATCACAGAATTTGATACATAAATGGATGGAAATAAAATTCGATTTTTTTAATTAAATCAATTAAAAGCGTAATATAAATATTTTCCCAAGAAATTAACGATACTGTATTAAATAATGTTTTATAAAATTTGGTACAAATAATATAACAATATATTATTATTATTTTTTTCATATTTATATAAACAACTTCAACGGTAAAAAGACAGACGAAAACGGACGTCGGATGAAGAAGTTAAGAACTTTTAACGGACTTTTCCTGTCCCGGCCTGTTAAAAATATAACTTTAAAAATAAATTCAAAATTAGCCAACGGAGTCTAAATGAAAGTTGTAGAGTATAATCCCACCTACGCGTGGATATAAAGAACGTAAAAAACGGAGCTCGTATGCAAAATATACGAATTTTTGAAATTTTAAATATAAAATTCGAGGTTTATTCGAATCCGTACGCCCAGCGTACTCCAAACTAGGTCAGGAGTCGGCCATGTCAGCTCTTCTCTGGACGAAGGACACGTTCCATGCGGATTTGACACGTCGGAGGCCCAAGAACCGAACACTTGACACGTAGCTAGTACGCCCATCGTATCGAAATTACGCCCTGCGTAATGCTAGGGTTCAGCCAACTATAAATAGAATGCGAAGGTCTCCGGGTTTAAGTTACAATTTCTCATATCCTTCACTCTCTAAACTCTCTCAAACTATCCTAACATCCCCCGAAGCCTAGGGAACCTCCCTAACACCCGAACCAAGTTCCGAAGCCCCGAAGTCCCCGAGAAAATAAATTTTTCGAGTCAAAACTCTGCCCGCGCAGAGCCCAGTTTTTGAGAAAACATCCCGGTTTCAACACATATAAAATGCATACACATAAGTGGCCTTCAGCTTATAATTAGTCTTCCCTTGGCCTTTAGCATATAGCTGGTTTGCCCTATATAGCCTTCAGCACGCAGTTGGACCGCTCTCTTATCGCCTTTAGCATAAATCTAGTCAGCCCGAGTCTATTGACCTTCAGCATAGGGCTGGTCCGCCCACAACTCCACACACATATGAACATACATATAGCAACATTCGATATAACAGCAAACTAACTATCCTAGAGTATTTTCCTAAGTGCATACTCCAGGGAACCTATATCTTAGCATATAGATGATACATACTGGAGTATACAATATAATGAGAAGAACTCACTTGGATAGTTACTTCGAAGATCGACAGCTAACCGGATGATCCTACTAACAGGTAACGAGTCTATTGAGTAGTAACCTATAATACTATAACTTATTATATTCCAAGGGAGTCTGATAAAGAAGGATATATCTATCACTAATCCCAATGAATACTGATAGTTCTATCAGATGTGGTCAGCTAGAAAGGATAGTTGGGATGCATGATCATTTCGACATATAGCTTTTCAGAAATCCAACAACCATGCCAACGTGACCATTCTAGACACCTCTCCCATAACTAGATTAATCAACATTTTGACTTGGAATTACTGATTGATCTTATTTATAGGTGCAGAAAAATGACATACGACTATGTAACATCCCAAAAATACAGTCTGAAAATTTCGTTTTAAATCAGTAATAAACCATAGTTATCATACGTCATAGAAAAATCACAACAATGTATCTCAGAATAATATAACAATTGTCATGTATATCAGAGTATAAACATCTCAGGCTGAATAAATGGTGTGTGCACTGCAATCGTCCCGAGCTCCTCTTTTGAACACTGAGTACCTGAAACCAAAACTGAAAACTGTAAGCACGAAGCTTAGTGAGTCTCCCCGAACTACCACATACCATACAATAACATATAAACATATATTGAGCCTTGCCCACTGCCTTGGACCGGAGTCCGGAAACTGCATCGGACCGAAGTCTGGAACTAACCAGGGTCTTGCCCTCTGCATCGGACCGAAGTCCGGAACTAACCAGGGCCTTGCCCTCAGCATCAGACCGAAGTCCGGAAACTGCATCGAACCGAAGTCCGGAACTAACCAGGGCCTTGCCCTCTGCATCAGACCGAAGTCCGGAAACTGCATCGGACCGAAGTCCGGAACTAACCAGGGCCTTGCCCTCTGCATCGGACCGAAGTCCGGAAACTGACTGAACATAGCATAACATAATCATAACTACTAGCATAAACACATATACTGCATACTGCATCAGATCGAAGTCCGGAACACATAACAGAAAGACATGCTTGAATCACAAAGACGTCAAGCACACTTAACTACTGCATCGGACCGAAGTCCGGAACTACTGCTAACTAAACGGGCCGGCATTATGGCCGTAGACCCGTTCCTACTGGAAGGAAACTCACCTCACACTGCTGAAGTCCCGTACACATAATCCCATACTGCTGAAGTCCCGCAGACCCAACCCCAGCTGTTGGATGACAGATTCCCGAACTGTCAAAACCAAAATAACACCCAATTAATAATTGGGTTCTAACACATAACTATAAATACATACTTTGGATAATTACTACATTACCCCTAGCTTGGCTTACCCAAGCCCAAGGCCCAATCCATAGGCCCAAAGTCAACTAGGGATCAAAACCCAACATATGGCCCAACTTTCCAAATTGGGCTCAAACCTCTACATGGACTTCCCTTAAGGCCCAATTGATCAGTCCAGTCCAACATGTCTCATTCTAGGGGCCCAATGTCATACAACCATCTAGGCCCCAACTATGGCCCAATTTTCCAAATTGGGCCCAATCCTTCATATGGGCCTTATCCTAAAGCCCAACTAATTACTCTAGTCCATTTAATTATTCTTGGATGGCCCATTAATAAACCAATTACCAAAACCCAATCGAAAGGCCCAACTCAAGGCCCAAGTGAAACTAGGGTTTCACATAAAATGACGATTAGGGTTAAGTGTTTCTTACTTAACCTATTAAGGACTTAATCCATTAAGTCCTTTACTCTACTAGATAAATGATATGGTAAAATTAGGCTTAATACACAATTCAATCTCAATGGCCCAAAAGTGGGTCCAAATAAGTCTAAGGCCCAATTACTCATAATTAGGGATTTCTAAACCCTAATTAGGGTTTTCACCCAAACATGGCCCAATAGGCCCAAAACTAATCCTTAAGCCCATTAGGGTTTTGCTAGGTCAATTAGGGTTTGCTTGTGGGGCACCACCCACTACCACCTCGGGTAGTGGCGGCCCCTGGCGGCTCACGGCGGCGGCCACCACCTTATGGTGGTGGTTATCATTATTTTTATTATTAACCAAAGCTAATTACAATTACAATGTTTAATCCAAACATAAACACAAACACACTAACTAACACATACACACTCAGCCACACCATGGTGGCCGGCGGTGGTGCTTGGCGGCAGCCACCACCTCACGGTGTTGGTGGCGGCTAATCTTGATTATCCGGATTGACAAAAACAATCAAACAAAATAATTACATCCACACACACTACACCCTTTGCCCGGAATAGCAACACAGCCACCCACCTGTGGCGTTTGGCGGCGGCAGAACCCTCGGAGAGGCGGCAGTGGTGGTGGTTCGCGATGACAGCCGGTGGTTCTCTTGATTCCCAATCAAGCAAACATACGTGCACACTCAAAAACAAGATTTGAAGACCGAGACATCTCCAACTCAGCCGCTACGGGTGGCAGGCGACGACTGGAACCCTAGAGACGGCGACCAACAGCGGCGGCGGCCCAAAACGGTAACCCACGACAGCCGGCGGTCGATCCGTTCCTTTCACCGCTTCGCTGGAGGCTTGAAATAACACGATGGCAGCGGCTGAGTCGTCCGACGACTGATGTGTGACGGCGTCTGTGAGCAAGGAATACACGCAGTGCCACGTCTCGTCGCCATCCACGGTTGGTAGTGGTGGCTCGCGTCCGGGACTTACATTTATCAATTTATTTAAGTAAACGGGCGTTACAATTCTCCCCCACTTAAATTAGATTTTGTCCTCGAAATCATTTCTTACCATTCCTTATGCGCCCAACTACTCAAGTATCATGACCACAATCCTGGGCACACCCTAGCTTTCCCAGGGCAACCAAAACTATCCCCCGCAGGGTTCTAGAACCCGGAGATAAGCGAATTTCTTGCATTATGATCACATTACTCACTTAGAAATCTGTAATCTCATGATGATCTGACGCTCTAACAGACCGCCCACACTGAATCATTACTGCTGAATCCAATCCACTTGTCTCTCAGCTGCCTACTCATCTTCTGATAACTCAAGGCTCCCACTAGAAGAACAGAATCACAGATCCACTTATCCATGTGATTTACTCATACTTGGCCAAAGCCCAGCTATTTCCACTGTGAGTGACTTGTCACTATCCATTTCAACCAGCTATTCTATCCGTACTTGCAACCTATACACAATTACTAAACACTGCCAAACACTGAAACTTTCTGAACACTGAACTGCCCGAAACATTGAACTGTCTGAACACTGAACTACCTGAACACTGAACTGCCCGAAACACTGAACTGTCTGAACATTGAACTGCCCGAAACACTGAACTGTCTGAACGCTAAACTACCTGAACACTGAACTGCCCGAAACACTCAATTGTCTGAACACTGAACTGCCTGACACACTGAACTGCCTGAAACTGTATGCCGCCACATGGCTGCTTCCCAACATCTACCGGGACCTACCTGGTCTCAATTTTCCGCCAATCATCTGAAATATCGGGTTCCAGTCCAACTTTGGAGCCAAAGGACTCCCTGCTTAGTCGCCTCAC